TCAGCCTCATTGGGTGGCAGAGAGGGACAGGGAGGACTGAGGTTCAGGGCTTCCCATAGGCCAGATTAAGTCTTATAGGGTAGATGGTTATTGGATTTTGTGGACCCCCTAGGCTCTTGGATGGGGCTAAAAATGAGGGGTTCAGTGTGCAGGACGGGACTGTCAGCAAGTGGGATAGGGATGGGGGTGCAGGATCTAGGAGGGAGGTGGGGTGCAGAAAGGGGGTGAGGATGCAAGGTCTGAGTGGGAGGTAGGGTGCAGGAGCAGGTTGGGAGTAGAATGTCTGGCCAAGGGGAGGAACAAGGGAGGGTGCAGTGTCTGGCCGGGGGGAGGGTGCAGGAGCAGGCTGGGGTAAGGGGGCTGGTGCATGGTCTGGGCATGAAGGGAAGGAGGGCACTTACCTACCTTTGCATTCCCCTCTGTTCCTAGCACCGTGTCCCAGGCACTGGCCCCCACTGCTCCCATTGGTTGGATTCTGGCCAATGGGAGCAGCGGGGAAAGCCTCCAGGCAGTGTGTCCATGCGCTGCTGTTTCCCCAGGCGGGGAGAGGGGAGCAGCAGCATATAGAGCCGCTTCTGGCTCCACTTCTTCCCTGTGAGGCAGATCCAGTGAAGAGGCTCAGGGCTTTCTTCCTCCTCCCATCCCTCCTAGCAGGAAACCAACGCTGCTGCTCCAACCTCATGCAGAGGGCAAGGGGGGCAGGCTGGAGAGCCGGCCCAGGCTCCCCACTGTGGGAGACAGCAGGGGCCATGGCTCAAGCTCAGCCTCCCCCCACAAAGTGTCATCTGCAGACCCCAGTTTGAGAACTGCTGCCTTAGAGACTAAAAAAAATTATATATAGTATCATGAGCTTTTGTAGGCACAACCAATTGAGGGTTTTGCCTACAAAAGCTCATGATACTATATATAATGTGTGTGTGTTGCCACAGGATTGCTCATTGTTTTTAAAGTTACAGAATAACACAGCTCCCCCTCTGAGACTTTTTAATCATGGTGGTTAGTACACAACTGGAAGGAGCTCAGATATTAAAGGGAAAAGATGCTCTAAGAAGCTAAAAATAGAACAGAATTACCAGTAAGGACAGGAAGGAGCTGGGTTTAACATTGTTTCAGCAGGGTTTACTCACAACACTCAGCTTGGTCTATACCGACTGCCAACCATCATGTTGGTTACCACAACTCATTAAAATAATGTTCCAACACCACCTAATTTTCGTAGTGAACACAAGCCCAGGACAAGCATGGGACTGAATAATACTTCACAGGGTTCCTGAACCACGTGACAGCCACTGGGCTGTAATGCAGCTTAGGAATACCTCAGTCACTTCCACAAGGTAAAACGATGCTGTAACAAGTTCCTACAATGCAACTGTCTATAGCACAGACAGGGTCTGGAACAGACTTGTGAGCTAGACTAGGATAAATCCTGAAGCTGCTACATGACAGCCCATGCTGAGTTGTTAAACATCACACACGTACAAAAACATGATTCAAGGTTTTTTTTTATTATAAAATGAGGGCAACGTGCCCAAGTGCATCACTCCGCAGCTGGAGCAAAGAACAGTAACACCAAAGGGTGGACAAAAATGACACATAACATTATAAAACTAACGGGAAGACAAGTTTACTCCTTTTGTGCAGTAACTGCAGTTCTTTGAGATGTGTCCCTCTGGAGGTGCACCACTTCAGACACACATGCAGTTCTCAAGCTCTAGCGTGGAGATTTTTGGTTAGCAGCATCCATTCGGCCTGCACGTGTCCCCTATGTCTCCTTGTGCTGGAGACCAAGGCTATATAAGCATGTGCAAGCCAACAGCCCTCAGATCCTTCTCTACCCAGACATCCCCTAAAGAACAGTCCAAAGCAAAGAGAAAGGGACAGGGTAGTGGAGCACCCATGGAGAGACATCTCAAAGAACCACAGTTACTTCATAAAATGAGTGACCTCTTCTTTAAGTTGCATCCTATGGGTACTCCACTTCAGGGGACTTCCAAGGTGTATTACCAGATGGAGGAGGGAGTTTCAGACCAGAGTCCAGAACTGAAGATAGTACTGCAAAACCAAGTACCATGCTAAATCTAGAACATAAGAATGTGAAAACAGCCATCCTGAGTCAGACCAATGGGCCATCTTGCCCAGTATCCTGTCTTTTTACAGTGGCCAATGCCAGGTGCTCTAGTGGGGATGAACAGAACTCACAGTTATTGAGTGATCCATCCTTGGTTGGCCACTTCTAGCTTCTGGAAACACCTAACGCACAGGGCCATGTCCCTGACCATACTGGCCAATAGGCATTGATGGACCTATCCTCCATGAAATTAATAGAGTTAAAAAAAGAACTGGATATAGTTTTAGCCTTCCGAACATCCCCTGAGAATGAGGTCCACAGGCTGATTGTGCAAGCTTCCCTGTGCTTGACTGAAACTTGCTGCCTATTAATTTCTTTAGGTGACTCTTGGTTCTTATGTTACATGAAGGGGTAAATAATAATACTTCCTTGTTCACTTTCTCCACACCAGTGATGATTTTATAAGCCTGTATCATCTCTCTTCTTAACTGGGACTGAGCAGTCCCAGTCTTATGAACCTCCCCTCATACCAAAACTGTTCTATACTCCTAATCATTTTGTTGCCCTTCTCTGTACCTTTCACAATTCCGATTTTTTTTTTTTGCAGTATTCAAGGTGTGGGTGTACTTTGTATTCAAAGGGCAGATTTATATAGTGGCATTACAAAATGTACTATTATCTATCCCTTTCCTAATGGTTTCTGATAGCTTTTTTGACTGCCGCTGCATGTTGAATGGATGTTTTGAGAGAACTATCCACAATGACTCCAAAATTTCTTTCTTGAGTGGATAATTTAGATCCCATCATTTTGTATGAGTAGTTGGGATTACATTTTCCAATATGCTTTACTTGGCAGATGAAATTCAAAGTCGACAAATGCAAATTTGTTGCCCAGTCATCCAGTTTTGCAAGATCCCTTGTAACTCTTCAGTTTGCTTTGGACTTAACTCTCTTGAGTAATTTTGTATCATCTGCAAATTCTGCCACTTCACTGTTTACCTCTTTTTCCAGCTATGACTGTGGAACAGCTCTGGTCCTAGTAGAGTTTCCGAGAGTGGCATGCAAGGCTGGTTCCACCACCCTTGCGAATGAGCCCACTTTCCCTATGCCTTTCAGAAAACAGGGTCCTGAAGGACTAGGTTAGAACTCTGAACAGAAATAGAAGAGTGCGACTGAAAGTCTCCCTCCATCTCATCCAAAGGAGGAACTCCTGCATAAAACAGTAGAGTCCTGCAGTGCCAGAGGCCAGCAGTCCACAGATCAGGGTCGCAGTACTGAGAGATGCTTGGTGCCCATGAGGAGTGGAGTAAGGATATAAAATTGTCGGTTAATTGAATAGTCGATTAACCTCATGAATTCTTATCGGTTACTCGACTATTCTATAGTCCCCAGGGATGAGGCC